AGAGAGAGAGAGAGAGAGAGAGAGAGAGAGAGAGAGAGAGAGAGAGAACGCCCCCAGATGACCGAGCAACAGCTGGAAGTGAATGGAGGTGGTGACGCGCCACACTGTGATGTGATTATATACTTAATTTGATGGTATTTAAACTCATGCGTGTATTAAACTTAATAAGCCTACAGGTCACTGCATCATCACAAGGAACATTTCATTTTATTAAAGAGTTATTATTCCAAAGTAACGGACCACAAGAGTTTTATGCTTTATGTCTAATCTATAAACAATGACACACCAATAGGACTACATTTTCATGACCTCTGATTTTTACTGTATCCATATACAATATATCAATACCAACCAACAGAATAAAAATAAAATGAATAAATATATTTTATACATATTTACATGGTTTACGTGTGTGTGTGTGTGTATATATATATATATATATATATATAATTTTTCCTTAAATTGCACTATTTTAATCAGCTTTAATTATTTATTATTATTATTATTATTATTATTAGTAGTAGTAGTAGTCGTAGAGGTAGTAGTCGTAGTAGAAGTAGTAGTAGTAGTACATACAGTATGCATAGCACACTAGAATTTACCAGGTAGGAACTTTCTCTGTTTCGACTGTTTTCCAGCCGGTTGCTTCAAAGCGGTGCACCACAGCAGCTCACCGGATGTTGATGGACTCACGTTGCTGTTTCTGAGTTCAACGCGAATCCTCATCGAGGTAGTTTGTGAGACATTTACACAAAACTTGACATAAGTCCACCAGGATGTCTGCGTCGTTGGTCAGAAGAGGACTGGAGCTGTTCAACAGTGACGTCAAAGGTCAGATTAGCCCGTTAGCTCGCTAGCTTAGCATTGGCTAACATTAGCATTCAGAGTCAGACACGTTTTAGGTTTTATTTCACAAAATAAAAGTCCAACATGCGACTTAGTTCTGATTTTATTTTATTATCTCTCATTATGATTCTTCACATCACGTGTTACTCCATTATATGACGCAGTATTATAAATAACATGTTTATACATCTTACAAATATTAAGTTTACAATAAGTTTCAAGGAAAAATATCTTTCAGTCAAAATATCTTTAAAAGTGTTTTTTATTTTTTATCTATAAGATCTGTTGGATTTTTTAATTTAAAAAAAATGATTTTCGTTTGTATAAAAAATGTTTTACTCGTTTGATTACTGTAAATTTTAAAACATAAATATTGTTGCATAGGTATTCAGTAACAATTTCAACCCAATCCAGTTAAAAAATAAGCATCTAGTGAGATTTAGAATTTTCTAAATTCATATAAAATATATATATTTCAAGTACATAGGATTTTTGCACGGTCCCATGAATTTAGTAGAAGTTTTCACATAAAAATATGGAAAATATAATAAAGATGCACAACATAACTTTTCCAGAAGGAGAGAGCTGTGCAGGATGTGCAACAGTTCACAATAAAGAGAATATGTGCAATGAAGAGGGATACTAGTCCCTCCCACACATAACCAGTTCACTTAGTATATTCTGCCTTTCTCCACCTCTCAGATGTCGGTAAAGTGAAGAAGAAGAAGAAGCAGCAGCAGCAGACGACTCCCGGCTCCTCCTCCGTGATGGAGCTGGTGAGCACCAAGCGTCAGGGAGTCACCCGGCAGGTCAAACGTCTGCAGGGCCGCCTGGGACCCGGCAAGAGCAAAGCTACAGTCAAAGACAAGAGGATCAAGTCCGCAGTGGGTCAGTCTGCTCCTGGTCCTGGTCCTGCATCGGGGGTCCAGTAGGGAAATGCACCCGGAAGTAGAAGTCTCACATTGGTTCAGCAAATGTGCAGCTCAGTTTTGTTTGAATAGACCAAGTGTGACTCGTGTGTCGGGTGTTTGATGCTGAACACATGGTGTAGAATGAACCAACACGGGCTCTGTTACACACTTCACAAAGTTCAAAACCAACAATTGTTTTAGTAACCTGGTCCTTGAAGCCGTCGAGGGTGTTTTGTGTCACAACATCTGTTCTACCTTCGCGCTCTGAACATCCTCTTCTTCTTCGTTGGTGTTGTTTTTAGAGGAGTTCAGGAAGAAGCAGAAGAAGAGCCAGATGAGCACTAACCTGAAGTACTTCATGGAAGCCGACTACAAAGCACCAGAGTCTCACACTCTGAAGGTGAGACAGCAGAGGTCACTCGGCTGCAGAGACGTTTTCAGAAATAACTGTGTACGTAGTCAACAGCAGGAGAAACGATCTTTAGATCCATGAAGTACACGTATATTTGTCAGTTTAAAAGATAATTTTGCACGTCAAGAAAGTCTCAGTTAGTCGTAGAAACATTGAGTTTTGTCTCAACATCTCGTAGTCTCACGATGTCCATCACCAACATGGACGTTAGCTCGATAAGCTAACAAGCCAAGCTAACTTAGCTTTTGTTCCACGCAGTAACGTAATCTCACTGACGTGTTTCATCAGCCGGAAGAACGATTGCGACCTCGTTGTTGGAGTGACACACAGACGTCATAACTTCAGAGAGAGACGGCACTCTGACGTGTGCTAAAAACGTGTAAAACTATCTTTTATTCTTAATCTACAGGAACAACATCATTCGTGCGTCATGTTTTCCTCATTTGATTCACTTCACATGAGTTCCTGCTCCTCTATAAGAGAGTTTGACTTCCTCTCCGTCTCTCACTTTAGATCCTGAGCCACAACTCGGGGAGGCAGTCGAGGAATCACCCGGAGCCGCCGGCCAAGAAGGCCAAAGAGACGCCATCTTTGTTCACAGAGAAGGAGTTCCAGCAGTTCCAGAAGGAATACTTCGGCAGGACTGTCGAGGAGAAGAAATGAAGCGCACCGAAAAAACCCCCACAAAGATGCTTCAGCCTCAGTGGAAACTCCCGAAGCTGCTGATATTTACTGCTTTACGTCGTTCTGGTGTCTCAATCAGGATATTCCGGTTTGAACTAAAGACTTTTGTTTATTATCGAATTGGAAATTCAAAGACATCGTATAAATGTTTCAACATCTAGAATCACAAGATGACTGTTATTGTTATTCAAGGTGTAACAGAAATAAATCTACATGCACAAAATGTACGAGTTTAACCCAGAAGACAACCTCCGCTTCATGTGTTAAAGCTGCATTCTCTCTAGTGTCCACCAGGGGGCG